TTCTCCATATTTAAGTCCTGCATTCGACTGGAATCGCTCAATGGTTCCAGAGTGATGAGCTGTTACAGTTATATCATCGAAATATGGGGATTTCAAAATAACTTTTCCTTCCAACTTGTCCTCACCAGTAAATTCAGCAACTGCCTGATATCTGTCCCCATTTAACCACGTAAGTTGCCCATGCGTAGTAAGCTGCCTACCGTTTGCTTCGTGGTTAATCATAGCAACGATGTCATTTATATGAGGAGCTTTGAGGGACAGTTCACCAGTCAGTCTACGCCCATATCCAAATCTGGACTTTGCCTCGTACTTTTGTCCATGGATATCTTCTAGTGTGATACTGGAACGGAAACGCCTTCCATTTCCCGTGAACTTTCCTGTGGCTGCTACACGAGGAATTTTTTCGAATGGAGTGGTAAGAGCTAAGCTTCCAAGTAAATCACCAGGCAGAATTTTGTATGAACTTTCCAATTTTACATTGCGACTTGGAAGGAATTCGATGTTTATCACAGAAATCCTTTCATCCCCTTGTGATTTACTTGTAATTGTGACCTGACTGTATGGAAGAACAGCAAATGGTGTATCCACCCTGAGGTTTCCAATTATGTCCCCTTGCATGTTCCATTGTGATGATGCTGACATCCTTGAAAGAAGAGGTTGTAATTCGAAGTAAGCTGCTGCCTGGAACGCGTTCATATCACCAGTCAATTCAAAGTTTGTCTCAAGTCTTCGTGCATCTTCCAGTTCTGATGTGATGAGAAGGAAGATACGTTTGTTGTTATCCATTCTCATGCGGTTTTCTAGTGAAACAACTTTTGTTGATCCGTACTGAACCGATGCAGTGTTGATAAGTTCCATCGCTTCTTTGTTCTGGTTTAAGGTAATGGCGATGTTTGTCATAACTGGTGACTGCAGATTCATTCTTCCACTGAACAGACCATTGGCTCGGTCTAGACTGGCGGATAATGTGATGCTCTTTGCTGGCGCCCATTCTAGATGAACAGTTCCACTGTATGGATAGTCGCTGTACTGAGAGTCGAGTCTTGCTGTGTATAAGTTTTTCATCAATTCAATTGTGTGGACAGAACTGACATGTCCGTTCTCTCTTCCATATTTATTTTTTATTGATATTACATTTTCTTCATTGTGTTGAATAGCCAGGACGTTGTTTATTAATCCACGGGCATGCTCATGGGTGATAGATACTCCAAAAGTAGGCAGGACATTTCCTCTCAACTGCACACTCAGCGATCCGATTCCCTGTTCAATGGCAAGATTGTGGTCTGAGTTGATATCAAAGTCAATATTATGACCTCCATAATTCCCATTGAAATTAGTTCTAATGGTTGTTGGGGTGTTTTCGTGATTCCACGCAGACTGCATTGAGTGTGACAACGCCGTCAAAGAAAATCGCCCATTATTCTGTACCGACCAACCAGATCTATCGTGTGTCATCTCCCCTTCGTATGCGAGACCCTGACCGTCCTTATTCATGTTGAAGTTGTTGGAAAATCTCCTACCATCATCAGAATGTCTTCCACCAATGTACATAGAACCCACCTGCGGGAGAGTTGTCTTGATACTGACACGTCCGGTTATATCTCGAGTCGTTGTTGTTCCTTTATTAGCGCCATCAATGTTTAATTGTACCAAATTCTTGTTCCAGGTAAATTTACCCATAGTTGATAATTTGTCTGTTAACTTGTGGTTGACTGCAACTGTTGTTCGTTGAAATCCTTTTACTGGAGTTTTTAGAACGATCTCACCTTCCAAATTTGTCAAGGAGATCGGTCTCTGAAGTATTATTGTAGTCGAAATTTTCTTGATGGGCTTCCAGTTGACATCGAGGTTTGTTGAGTATTGAGAGTTGTCAGTAACATGTGATGCCTCTACAGCAACAGACCGGTAGCCACGGAATGGGGTGGTGATCTGGAGGGTTCCTGCATAGTTATTGTTCTTCTTGTTACTGAAGGTCGTGTCCACAGTAATGCGCTTGGATCCGTCCCATTCTACGTCAGCGTGAGATATGTACTTATTACCTCCACGATGTTTCAGGTTTACAATGTATGCGCCAAGAGGTGACTTGCTGTTAAGGTTAACATCTATAGTGTTGATATCCGCAACCGTTGCTTGTCCATCCAGCTGGACGCCTTTAGTAACATCATTGTCAGCATCCCAAAGAAGTTTGGTTCTAACAGAGTAAATCGGAGATTTTCTTTTCATGTCAGCCTCGAATGTAATATGCCTGGTTGGTAATTCTACGTTTGTGCTCACGCTTGCTTTTGCGTCAGTGAATTGATATGACGTTGAAAGTGCATACTTGTCCTTGGCCAGCCGGACTTCGGTGTTGACACTCATATTCCTTGGCGCAAAAACGTACTGGCCAGCAATTCGCACACGTCTCATGTCTGCTAGATTGACATCAACAGAGCCAATCAGTTCCTTTGAAGACGGTAGTCTGAATGTTGTGATGATTGTATTTCTCTTTGACTTCGCCCATTGTGCCGTGAGAGTGTTTGTAAACTCTCCGTCGGTTCCTTCATTCAAATCGTTACCTACCTCAATATTTTCCCCGCCATATGAAAAGGTCATAGCACCCGACAAGTTCTTGGTAGTCTTGCTCTTGTTCTTTAATCGAAGAGTTGTAGACAATTCATTCTCTTTACCAGGTAAGAATGTTGCAGTGGTTTCCAGCTGTTTTCGGTTATGTGTATGACGGCCTTGAAATCCCAAATCGACACCCTGAAATCACAAGATGTGGTCATGTTACATTCTAACGATTTAGGTAATGAGATATCTTAGTTTCTCGTCAAATGATCTTTCTTTGAAAAATAGCAAAAGCGCAATTTGATAATGTCAGAAGAATGTTTGGTTCAATGGTGTAATATCATTAATGTTTAGAATTCGGATGAAAATGTACCATTCCGAGATGCTTCAGATCAAAATCAGCAGCTAAAGTAGATTCCAACCAGGTTAAACGTTGGTGTCTAACAGTTGAGGACAGTGAAATAGTTCTTGTCTTGTCTTTCCGGTTTGCACCATAGACCAAGTTAAATTGTAGTCCAGTTGATTTTCTGGTCTGACTTGCATCTACAGTGGCACCGATATTAAACTGTGGTCTCTTCTTGAAAACGGTGTTTCTATATAAAATAGAACACCATTGAAAAATAAGAAATATTGTACATTCTTCGTCACAATATTATGAACATTATTGAAACAAATTTGTGGATACTGAATAATGTTTCTAACAATATATTTACAGTCAACTTACATTGTTCCCTTTATCCTTTTCAGAGCTTTAGTCATCGCAAGGTTAGCCTTCCCGTTGAATGTGATTTTGTCTCGAATCACCCGTGGGACGACGTAGTCTACGGTAGCTCGAGTTATCAGGGCCTTTCCACCTCTGAGCACAACATTGGATTGGACCTTGGTGGTAATGTAGGGCGTTCTGACATCCACCTTCGTCTGGTACCTCATTGTTTTCTTGTTACCCAAATTCCTGACTTTGACTGTAAATTGATACTACGTTTACTACTTAAGTCATTTTGAGGAATATACGTCTACTGTAAAGTTGGAGTATTTTTGTCATATCTTTATAAAGCAACTGTAAAACAAATATAAATCAACTAAATGGTGACAGCCTATGGGGCAGAAAAAAACCCATTCCTATTGCACATTATTGTAAAGATTATCGAGAAGAATTCATACAATTACATATCATTTTATAAGTTATCTTTTTCTTTTCTCAATCGCCAGCTCATGTACATTGTATTTACCAAACAGTTTGATGTCCTTAGAAACAATCTTGCTGAGAGTAAAATCAATTAAAGCTGACTTTCCCTTCCTGTGCTCTGCAGTGCCACCAAACGCGACAACTTCCTTTTCTGGAGTGCGAATAGATAAATATGGCCTATACTTTATCGCTTTTGCAGTCCCTGTTGTCTGGATACGAGCTACGGCACTGTATTCCTTTCCTTTCGTGAAACTGATGCCACCCATTAGTGATCGTATGGTTTTTTTGTTCTGGAGGGAAACTGAAATGTACATGTACAAGTCTATAGAACTGTGTTTCTGTTGTTTCTCTTAATTGATCGAAATATATTATCACTTACACCAGAGGAAACATGAGTCAAATTAACTGTATTGGACGAATTACCTTCATAGATACTTACATCTACCCTTGACAGGTTCGGCTGTGATACCAGTAAATGTAAGGTCACCTTCAACCGACTTGGATGGGAGATTTTCAATGGAGCCACCCAGGTTGATGTTATCTTTGCCGGGTATTGTTATTGTAAAAGATGGTGTGTAGACATATGCGGAACCTTTTCGGCCTTGTCTGACCTCCGCATTCACTAAAAACTCTTTGTTGGCATCAACACTAAGTCGGCCTTGCACTCTCTTTAGTCCTCGTTCATTCGTCAGGGATGCTTCAAAGGAAAAGTTTGACCAGTTACACGTAACAATTAAAACCACTTTACTATTACAAGCCCAGTTCAATTTATTGTGCATCGATTTAAGGTTGAGCAAATCTTAATTCAGACCGATATTTACCGGATGCACCAGCCTTCATCCACGGAGAAACCAAATCCATTGTGATAGATTTGTCCACATTGTTCAACAGAAAGTCAACTCCAATATTTCTTTCCACTAAAGATCCGGGAGTGTCGAATGCTATCTTTGCAGCTAAGCTTTTCCTGGTCTGAAAATATAGAAAAAATACTCTCAATGAGATAGTTTGGATCAAATAGACATTTTAATTTCAATAGATATGTGTAATGAACAAATTATGCATTGAATGATGACAGATCTTGAAACCTATTAACTAAATAAGAAATAGTTTACTAAATCTACTGTTTATGGTCTGTACTTATGAAAATTTATAAGAATAAATATACCTTCACAAATTTGGCTTCAAATTTGTAGCTTGTCAAGGTGTCCTTCTTTGTGAGGTCGATTTCCATCTTTATTGGACCCGTGAGGGGAAAGTATGGAGCGTCCGTTTTCATTGAGGCATTAGAAAACTGGACTTCTCCACAAAGCTGAACACCAGTCACTTTGGTCATGGTTTGTCCTGTACAAACCTTATGGACTTGTTTGTTTTCTGTTATCATCTCTTGTTCACGGTGAAGGTCATTGTGAACGGTGAAAAAGGCAGTTCTGTTTCATACAAAAGACAATGCAATAAAAAGGTTAAAATAGTTCCTAATTAGTATTTGAGATAAAATGTCAATTGCAATAAACTTATTAGTTACAAACTTACTTGAAATTGACGATTTCCATCTTTTTGCGAGGCATGTCCAGTTCCATCTCCAAAACACGGCCATCAGCCAACTCAATCTTTCCTTGGATTGCAGTACTTGTGTGCAGATTTGAAACCATTTTCATGCCGCTCTTTGTGACGAAGGCATCTACGCTCATCATACTTGATACTTCAAGGGCAGCGCTGCAAACGGAAACATGGTTATTAACACTTGAAACTTAATTTTCTATTTTCAGTTTAAGAGTTGGAAATTTATTGTAATCTTAGATTTGTATTATAAATTTCAAACAGAATATGATATTCCGCTTTGTAAACAATTCCAAAGGATTTCCTGAATTCCTGCGAATAGCGATAAGAAGATGTTCAAACAACGTTTGTATTTGTGTTTACCTTGGCTGGATAGAACCAGTTATTAAAACGCTTCTTGGACTCGTGGCGACCTTTCTCAAATCCATTTTACCGGATGCCTTCATGTCAACAGTAGCGGTTCCATTTACCGTAAGGTTTAATGGGAAGCCGGAACTGGTAGGAATGATCATGCTGCTATCCATGAACATGAAGTTTTGTGTTAATGTATAGTCATGGTTATTGGACATACTGATAAGCAATTCTAGAACGTTGATCTCTTCACCAAACAACGACTTCTTTCCATCTAGACGGGCATAACCAAGTTCGTTTCCAAAAACCCTTGTGTAAAGTGCCCCCTTCAGTTCATCCATTGCCGATCCAAACTGCAAGTAAACGAATTATAAAAATTATACTATTCAATGGAAATCAACACACTATTTGGAGTTACAATATAACCGGTCTATATGATTCTATAGTGCGTTCATCAGTGATTAAGTTTTACCTGATTCTCAATATTTTTCATTTTTCTGCTGCTGATCCCTTTGACAGTTTGCTCATTTGAGTCAGTTGCTTCGTTATCACTGAAATAGCCGTTTGGTCCAAAGTAGGATTCCAAGAAGTATTCCAAGCCTTCGACTCTGCCCCCAACTTCAAACAAGTTGACGGAGTGACCGAATAGATCGACAGTTAAATTGGCCATCATTGACCTTGGAAGGAAAGATGAGGAAGACCAGATCAGGTTGCTCTCAACTGACGCTCCAGCATTCAGCTTCTCCAAGAAAATGGATTTCTCGTAATTGTGGGAAAATTTTCTGTTGTCGAGATCGAAGTTACTCCTCAACTCTTCGTTCTGCAGAATCGCTCGAATGTCTTGTCTGTGGATGTTTGATGTTTCTTTGAGATTAGAAAGATGGGACCAGACGAACGATCCAACTTGGTTAACATCTTCGTTTTCCAGTTGGTGTTTAACGAGATCGATAGTTTGAGTATTTGCACATTGCATCAGGGCAAGATAGGCGGCGATCCTGATCTCAGAATCTTCTTCTTTATTGGCAAATGTTGTTCTTACTTCACCTCTCTATGAATGGAATGAATACAAAATGTGATGAAATTCAATCATATGATTTATTAAATCCTGAAAATCTCTTTATAATTTCCTTGAGAGTATAACCACATAAAAAATACCAATACATGCCTAATTTATAACAGTGGTTAGAAACTCATTTTATTTGGTTATTGATGCATTGCGTAGAATAGCTTGTGATAAAGTACATAGACCAAACGAAAACAATAAAAAAAATACGTACATCAGCATCGCATGGCATGCGTCTAAATGCCTCTATGGCAGCGAGTCTGACTTCTGTTGGGTTTTCCGTCTTGGTTAAGCAGCTGTTGATAGTTTGAACAGCACGAGTAGCATGCCCAGCATTACCAAGTGCTCGAAGGCTCATAATGGTCTGAAAAGTAGGAAAGACCTATAAATAAAGCAAGCCGATTTCTAGAAATGGTGATTATTTTATCAGAATTCATTAAATGTATTATTAAAAGCTGAGATGGAAAAAATTGACACCTTTTGTAATTTGTCTCCGTCGACGTTACAACCATATTCGATTTTCCCCTCGATTGTTGATATGATGTTGCTGACATCCATGTCATTTCCGCACGTTCTTTTTCGACAGAAGTTGTGAACCAGGGATGCAACGGCTAGCATGGCTTTCCCGTTGTCCTTGGAAATAAGTGGCTGTAATACCAGATGACAATATCATAGAATTAGGAAACACTATATTATTATTACATCAGATCTATAACTTTTCACGCCAAACAACAAGAAAATATCAACATGACAACATGATCATATTCAAAATTCAATCCAATGGAACTAGGACAAAGTATAAACTGAAGATTCAAGGAGAATGAAGCAGGTGTTCAGGAAGTGTAAACGGCTTCTACTACATTAACGACACACCAATTTAAATCATGGTCAACTAGAACATTACGAAATGAGACGTTCTCAAATGAGAACCAATATACCGCAACGAATCCAACAGGCAAAATAATGAGCATAAAAATCAGTTTGACGACCATAAAACTTCCCCAAAATTTTCGTCAACCTGCATCTCTTGAAACCGTGTACGTCGGTTGCCGACTTCCTGCATGGATATCGTGATAATAAAAACAAGCCCTTCAATATATATTCAAATGCGACATGTAAACACCATAACATAGGAATAGTGGTTTTGCTTCCGAAAAATGCAAGATAAGGAAATTAAAATATGTCAATGTTAGTTTCGTTGTAGGAAACGATTGAGATAAGCGGATGATGTAGAAGAGCCTATCGTGTCTTTTATTCCCAATTCTGGTGGGTATATACGAATGTTGTGGATGTGGTCAACAAGATGACTTCCATGCTATTCATATACCATTACAAAAACAAAAGCTATATGCACAATCCATTCAAAACAGCCGTACATACCGTGACCTCTCTCAGCATGTCTTTTGTTGGATGCTGGATGAAGGAGAGTGTTGTAAGCCACATATCAGCCTCTATACCTGTGATCTCTTGACTGTTAATTAGTTCCGTAAGCATACTCAACGAAGCACTAGTTCCTGTCATTGGTATTGCGTCCAAGAAAAACTTCCTGCAAATACATAATTTGAAACATAAACTAATATATCTATTCTGTGTATATTTCATTATCACATTAATAGGTCAATGACGCGAAAAATAAATGTAATCAATCAACTTTTTTCTTACTTTACTCTCTTTATGTTGTTGGCGCACAAACTCCCAGTTCGGAGTTTCTGATAGACTCTTCGAAGAGACTGTACGTCAACGGTTTTCATCAGGTACACCATGTCCGAGAAAAGTGTTGGTGTTTCTGGACGTATATCCTGTCTTGTGTTTTCACAAACCTCCATCAGTTTAGCTTCTAGTTCAACCTGGGAACGTATTGATTTGTCGGCATCATAGGCGTGCTCGAACGTTATTCCTCGTCGACCTCTGATGACGCCTGCATATTTAATGGTATAAAGAATGTTTAAAGACTCCAGAATATCAACTGTATAAAACGATGATGAGAATCATTCAGATATTTCAGAGGAAGTTAAAATTCAATTGTAATAGTGTAATGACAGCATTTGACAATTCTGTATTTCATGTTAAACCATAATGAAGTCGTACCCAAACTCTTTTGTAAACGGAAAGATTACCTCTGAGAATTTATCTTGTTAATGATATTGAAACCTTATATGAATAAATAGATATACCTGGTATGGACGACGCAACTGATTCCTGAACAAAGCTGAGTGTCTGCTTGCTCTCGGTTACTGCACCACTTCCCTCACGTGAGAACGGTCTGAATATATGGGATTCTACACAGCTTGCAGCCTTCAGTAATCCTTCCGCTGAAATTTCCTGTTGGCATTCGTGTTCGCTGTAAATGAGAGGTATGGCTTGGTTTTCCTGTAAAGGCAATTGTGAATAATCAATCAGATATCTTCCGTTATGCATGTGGACATGAGATTGTCCTTCGTGTGGACTCTAAAGCCTCAATAAAACAATATACTTCGAACGCAATGTGATTTGTATCTTTTACTTACAGAAGAGACTATGTACGGAATGCTCTGGACTGATGTACTGTAGTCGTTACGTTCTGTGCACCCGAGCAGGTTCTTTGTCTTCCTCACCATATAGCCATGTTGGCCGTAATCTGTTCTGTATTCGACCTCGCAGTTGCCATTGACGTCAGACTACATAACAGAAATGTAAATACTTCATTCTTCAATTTAAGTATTCGCATCACATAAATAATGTCTTTTTCGCGAGGAACAAGGATATTTCAGTAGATATCAACAAACCTCTGTTGTTTTCTGGTCACGTCTGAGGTCATCCATGCTGTTCTGGAAGACAGACAATATACCCCGTTTGATGTTCAGTGCCCAGGTGACTTCGTCCGAAGATGGACATAGCTCTTCTACGATTCCATCTTGGAAGGAAAATCGCAGATCATGCCTCTCTAAGACACGACGAAGTTCTTCACTTCCCTCTGACAATATCATCCTTTCATAGTTCGTTGGGTCTGTTTCGTGCAGTCGCACATCCTCAATCTTCGGGGAAAAAGAAAGTTATTATAAATAAAACACGTCGAAAAGCCGGAAAATGTTTTCTTATGTTAATAAATAATCCGAAGTACTATGCATCACAGATTCAGTGATTATTGTTAAATGTTGCTTTTACTTATTTTCCTCTAAATCCAATCTTAGTTTCTTTTATTTTTCCAGTTAAAGTTATCAAACGCTTATATATTAGTATTATGTCATATGTTTAAGGACAAGGACAAAATGTGATATATATTTGATATAATTCGAGTAGACTTTTGCAAGATGCTTTTTACACTTACCTTCAGAACAAAATCACATTTGGAAACTGCCTCCACATGAACCTTAGCCGTTAGTTCCATTCCGGACGATCCTTCTGATGCTCCTTTCACACCGGTAGATGTTTTTACATTGTAATCAAACTCGTATGACTTCCCTGGCTTGTAGCCAAACTTATTTGTGCCTGCAAAATAAAGAAATTTTAAGCGACTGTTCGTCATGCAAGGAAAGATTTATCTTATCATTTTTTATGATGTCTTTTTCTTCATAAACTGATGATAATAAAGTTCATATTGATATGATAACTTTATCCGCTTCAAGTGTACCATTTTAATGATGCATTTACAACGTCAATTGATATAAATATATATTCTTTAATACTTAAAGTTATATACTACAATGCAATTAAATTACTTACTTGAACAAGTTCTTGAACACGAGTCTCTTTGAAATTTGTTGATGCGTGTAATACCAGTTATAACATCTGAATCATTTTGTTCACTGTGTAGGTGTTATTTAACGATATTTCACACAGTAAGATACACAAAAATCGAAGAGGCATTGTATGGATGGAATGTTTGTACACCACCCTAACACATGGACAATAAGATATAAAAGAAATATGATTTTTATTTCTCTAAGTAAAACACAAGGATTTACTGTGGAAATGGTACTGGTATCTCCACACAATAAAAATAATACACAATAAAAGTAACACGCTAATTTGATGGAGGGGAGATAACTCTAGCTTTATGACATCTTAAATACTCGAATAATATATTTACGTAGACCTGAAGCTTTGATAATTGTGTCCGTTTATTTTCCTATGAAAGGTATGTATTTGTACTGCATGAATTAGCGTACCACGGGGCGTCCCAGTGGCCCTATAGGCCTGATATAAGTTAAATGAAAATTTTCACCGCTCTTAGTTAAAATTTAAAAGTTTTTAAGTGCGTTTCATAAATCACATATGGAAGCTAAAGTAGAATCTAATAGTATTATAAAATGTATCATGTACATTAACGTAAGGTTATTTTACTCGTAAAGATTCTCTCCTTTCATTCAATGCATTTAAAGAAATGTTATATCGCGAATCTCCTGTCGTATCGGTACATTATGTAATCAACCTCACTATGCTCGAACACTTAGTTTATGTTAGGTTCTTATTCCGAAAATTACTGATTTATCTATTTATGATGCATAACTATAGGATGTAGGCACTTTTCTACCTCTAACAAGAAAAACCTCTCGAACAGAGCGGTAGTAATCGGAATTCAAGCAGACGACAGCGCAGCCGACCCTGGTACGCGCAACAACTGTCAGAGTAAACGCTGGATTCTGAAAAGTTTGTAAGCCTAATTTTCTTTTCTTTTTCTGAAATTATCATAGTATAATATCTTAATTGAAAAAAAAAATATTGCATCCAAATTGTGTTTAACATATAATACAAAATATAGAACAAACCAATATATTGGTTCGCATTTTCCCACATAGAAACGCATACTGATTCATGATCGTGTGGACCGATCAATGTAAAAAATGAATTCATTTCTCTCACTTATTTTTACCACAATTTGTAAAAGGGTCCGAATGTTATTATAAAGAACGACATAACAAGGTTTTAAATATTCAATATTTCAATGGGGTGTTCGATTATAAGTTCTGACTTCCGTCGACATCCGCTATTCCACCGGTGGCGTTTATCCTACCTCCGAAAACGTAACAACAACTGCATATGATTTTGTTATAGCTGGGAATGTTCATGGTATGTCACCTACCACACTTATTGAAGTCATTGACAAGTTTTCATATTAAAATAGCTTTTTTCGAGCACACGACTGAGTCTATAAAACTATTAGGAATGTTCTCCATATAAGCAACACTCAATCATAAACACCTTCCATATCGTTATGATAGAGAGTCGAAAATTGATTTCAAAATTTTAAAGAGAAATAATTTTCAATTGAATTGCAACAACCGGGTGACAGAAACCTGATTAAGTTTTAATAGGAATTGTTGACAGGCAATTTTGATTGTAATATGCAATACTTTGTAAAAAAAACAAAAAACAAAAACAAAACAAAAAACGGCTAAGTGGATCGAAATCAAATTAACAGACGTCATTTTTCTATGATGATGGAGAAAAACAAATATCGAAAAAATGAAGTACTTGACGTATATATATATCGATGTCTAATTCATACAACTTGCTCAACTTCAGTAAGCAGACATTTTTGCATATGATTAGTTATTGAAACATAGACTTTTTTTATCGAAGTGATTTTAAATCAATATGATAGCAAAGATGAAATCAATAGACATTTGTGTTAAACGTGGTGTGATGAATAATGAAAACGAAGCAGCAGGGCCATTGAGCGTGTGTTATACACCAAGTGATACATACTATAAATCATACAGATGAACATGATTATGACACACACTGGTGTGATAATGTGATTGATTAGAACTCACTAATCAAAATGATTAAGATCGATTAAAGTAGACATCGGTGATATAATGAGTAATCTAAACAAAGGACCAAGGTTGGTTAAATACACATTTGTAACATGACAAAAGACAAAAAAATTGTGATAACTGTGATGTTAGTGAAAGTTTAAAAGTCGTCTAGGTGATTTGGCAACTGTTATAACAGCTGATGATTGTTACAGAGAAAAAAAATTGATTCATGTATGAAACCGAATTACTAATAAGTAACACTTACCCGCCTGTGTTGAAGCCGCAAGGGCCACAACTAAAAGTAACTTGAGCTCCATTCCTCGGAGCAGTGGGCTCGTCTATACCACCGTAAGTGTCTGAAGACGTTCAGTCGCTGTCCCTTATATATCAGTATAAGTAACAATGGGTACAGAGGTCACTTCTTCACTACTACGCAGTGATAGTCTCCCTACGGATGTTGCTGATACAGCAAGGATTTCAATGTACAGTTATGACGCTTTACAAGATAAATGATTTCTATTTTTGTAATTAGGGTGTGTGGAATGTTGATGAACTTTAAATCTATATTGAAATTCCAAATTATTCAATTTTCATTGTTCTACGTATAATGTTTCAACGTTTTTGATATTTGTAACAAAAAGAAGTAAACATGATACAAATTACGTCTTTTAAGACTAAAAGGTAGTGTATACTTATAATATTATATGAAAATATCTTGATTTTGTGAAAGTAAAATCTGTACCCATTTGATAGAATAAAAAAAACATAGAGAGCGATGAATATCAAACTGTACCAAGTGGAATGTTGTCGACAGATATTATTAAATGGTTTAAAATGTCACTTGGAGTGCTATATACAGAAGTGAAATCACATATTACAAAATAACGCTTATTTCAAATAAACATATCGTTCTTTTTTATTGAAATGATATTTACGCTAATTGTCTTAAACGAACATGTTTATGTACCCGGTATTGATTTTCTTTCACTCTTGGTTAACACCAAGCTAATGACTAACAAACATAATTAAGATTAATAACATCTATCTAACATAATAAATAACTAACACAAAAATAATAACCGGTTTCCTGACAAACCTAACGATCGGTTTTCTAACAAACTTAACAACCGGTTATCTAACAAACCTAACGATCGGTTATCTAACAAACCTAACGATCGGTTTTCTAACAAACATAACGATCGGTTTTCTAACAAACCTAACGATCGGTTATCTAGCTAACATTCACAAAACTTGTTAACTGTAAGAAAACTAACCAACGGCGCTAATTAAAAAGATCTACATATCAGTTGACTTAAAAAAAATAAATGTCTTCCGGCTAACTTCAACAAAATTGATCACATGCTAATCATAACAAATGTAGGTACTGGTTAATTCTAAGGAAAACCTCAATAATGGGTACTCTAACAAAGCTGACTACGGTGTAACTCTAAAACTATAAATAATGGGTACAAAGCTGACTACAGTGTAACTCTAAAACTATAAATAATGGGTACTCTAACAAAACTGACTACAGTGTAACTCTAAGACTATCAATAATGGGTACTCTAACAAAACTGACTACAGTGTAACTCTAAAACTATAAATAATGGGTACAAAACTGACTGCAGTGTAACTCTAAAACTATAAATAATGGGTACAAAGCTGACTGCAGTGTAACTCTAAAACTATAAATAATGGGTACTCTAACAAAATTGACTACAGTGTAACTCTAAAACTATAAATAATGGGTACAAAGCTGACTGCAGTGTAACTCTAAAACTATAAATAATGGATACAAAACTGACTACAGTGTAACTCTAAAACTATAAATAATGGGTACTCTAACAAAACTGACTACAGTGTAACTCTAAAACTATAAATAATGGGTACAAAACTGACTGCAGTGTAACTCTAAAACTATAAATAATGGGTACAAAACTGACTGCAGTGTAACTCTAAAAATATAAATAATGGGTACCCTAACAAAACTGACTGCAGTGTAACTCTAAAACTATAAATAATGGGTACAAAACTGACTACAGTGTAACTCTAAAACTATAAATAATGGGTACAAAACTGACTACAGTGTAACTCTAAAACTATAAATAATGGGTACCCTAACAAAACTGACTACAGTGTAACTCTAAAACTATAAATAATGGGTACCCTAACAAAACTGACTACAGTGTAACTCTAAAACTATAAATAATGGGTACCCTAACAAAACTGACTGCAGTGTAACTCTAAAACTATAAATAATGGGTACAAAACTGACTACAGTGTAACTCTAAAACTATAAATAATGGGTACAAAACTGACTGCAGTGTAACTCTAAAACTATAAATAATGGGTACAAAACTGACTACAGTGTAACTCTAAAACTATAAATAATGGGTACAAAACTGACTGCAGTGTAACTCTAAAACTATAAATAATGGGTACAAAACTGACTGCAGTGTAACTCTAAAACTATAAATAATGGGTACAAAACTGACTACAGTGTAACTCTAAAACTATAAATAATGGGTACTCTAACAAAACTGACTACAGTGTAACTCTAAAACTATAAATAATGGGTACAAAACTGACTACAGTGTAACTCTAAAACTATAAATAATGGGTACAAAACTGACTGCAGTGTAACTCTAAAACTATAAATAATGGGTACAAAACCGACTGCAGTGTAACTCTAAAACTATAAATAATGGGTACAAAACTGACAGTAGTGTAACTCTAAAACTATAAATAATGGGTACAAAACTGACTACAGTGTAACTCTAAAACTATAAATAATGGGTACAAAACTGACTACAGTGTAACTCTAAAACTATAAATAATGGGTACAAAACTGACTACAGTGTAACTCTAAAACTATAAATAATGGGTACAAAACTGACTACAGTGTAACTCTAAAACTATATATAATGGGTACAAAACTGACTACAGTGTAACTCTAAAACTATAAATAATGGGTACAAAACTGACTACAGTGTAACTCTAAAACTATAAATAATGGGTAAAACAAAACTGACTACAGTGTAACTCTAAAACTATAAATAATGGGTACAAAACTGACTACAGTGTAACTCTAAAACTATAAATAATGGGTACAAAACTGACTACAGTGTAACTCTAAAACTATAAATAATGGGTACAAAACTGACTACAGTGTAACTCTAAAACTATAAATAATGGGTACAAAACTGACTACAGTGTAACTCTAAAACTATAAATAATGGGTACAAAACTGACTACAGTGTAACTCTAAAACTATAAATAATTGGTACTCTAACAAAACTGACTACAGTGTAACTCTAAAACTATAAATAATGGGTACAAAACTGACTACAGTGTAACTCTAAAACTATAAATAATGGGTACAAAACTGAACAGTGTAACTCTAAAACTATAAATAATGGGTACAAAACTGACTACAGTGTAACTCTAAAACTATAAATAACTACAGTGTAACTCTAAAACTATAAATAAACAAAACTGACTACAGTGTAACTCTAAAACTATAAATAATGGGTACAAAACTGACTACAGTGTAACTCTAAAACTATAAATAATGGGTACAAAACTGACTACAGTGTAACTCTAAAACTATAAATAATGGGTACAAAACTGACTACAGTGTAACTCTAAAACTATAAATAATGGGTACAAAACTGACTACAGTGTAACTCTAAAACTATAAATAATGGGTACAAAACTGACTACAGTGTAACTCTAAAACTATAAATAATGGGTACAAAACTGACTACAGTGTAACTAAAACTAAAACTATATAAATAATGGGTACAAAACTGACTTCAGTGTAACTCTAAAACTATAAATAATGGGTACAAATCTGACTTCAGTGTAACTCTAAAACTATAAATAATGGGTACAAAACTGACTACAGTGTAACTCTAAAACTATAAATAATGGGTACAAAACTGACTACAGTGTAACTCTAAAACTATAAATAATGGGTACTCTAAAACAAAACTGACTACAGTGTAACTCTAAAACTATAAATAATGGGTAAAACAAAACTGACTACAGTGTAACTCTAAAACTATAAATAACTATAAATAATGACTCAAAACTGACTACAGTGTAACTCTAAAACTATAAATAATGGGTACAAAACTGACTACAGTGTAACTCTAAAACTATAAATAATGGGTACAAAACTGACTACAGTGTAACTCTAAAACTATAAATAATGGGTACAAAACTGACTACAGTGTAACTCTAAAACTATAAATAATGGGTACAAAACTGACTACAGTGTAACTCTAAAACTATAAATAATGGGTACAAAACTGACTACAGTGTAACTCTAAAACTATAAATAATGGGTACTCTAACAAAACTGACTACAGTGTAACTCTAAAACTATAAATAATGGGTACTCTAACAAAACAGACTACAGTGTAACTCTAAAACTATAAATAATGGGTACTCTAACAAAACAGACTACAGTGTAAGTCTAAAACTATAAATAATGGGTACAAAACTGACTACAGTGTAACTCTAAAACTATAAATAATGGGTACAAAACTGACTACAGTGTAACTCTAAAACTATAAATAATGGGTACAAAACTGACTACAGTGTAACTCTAAAACTATAAATAATGGGTACAAAGCTGACTACAGTGTAACTCTAAAACTATAAATAATGGGTACAAAACTGACTACAGTGTAACTCTAAAACTATAAATAATGGGTACAAAACTGACTACAGTGTAACTCTAAAACTATAAATAATGGGTACAAAACTGACTACAGTGTAACTCTAAAACTATAAATAATGGGTACAAAACTGACTACAGTGTAACTCTAAAACTATAAATAATGGGTACAAAGCTGACTACAGTGTAACTCTAAAACTATAAATAATGTAACTCTAAAACTATAAATACAAAACTGACTACAGTGTAACTCTAAAACTATAAATAATGGGTACAAAACTGACTACAGTGTAACTCTAAAACTATAAATAATGGGTACAAAACTGACTGCAGTGTAACTCTAAAACTATAAATAATGGGTACTCTAACAAAACTGACTGCAGTGTAACTCTAAAACTATAAATAATGGGTACAAAACTGACTGCAGTGTAACTCTAAAACTATAAATAATGGGTACAAAACTGACTGCAGTGTAACTCTAAAACTATAAATAATGGGTACAAAACTGACTACAGTGTAACTCTAAAACTATAAATAATGGGTACAAAACTGACTACAGTGTAACTCTAAAACTATAAATAATGGGTACTCTAACAAAACTGACTGCAGTGTAACTCTAAAACTATAAATAAC